CAAAGTGAGAGATTTGCACTTGTAAGTTAAATTAAATATCATAATTATAAACAGGGCAAGACCTTTACGTACTATTGTCGTGGAATCAAGTAGGTCGGGTTTTCATCTAGCAACAAGGCCCCACGTAGTGCGCCATGTCGGGGTATCAAATATGTAGGTTGTCGGTACTCGGTCGTGGCCACACGTTGGGCGCCGGGACGCGGAGTCTCTTACTCACTAAAGTTTATGCACTGTTGTACGGACTCCGTGGAACGCCTATACAGAAGCTTGTAGAAAGTTTGAATTGAAGCGTATAGTTGAGAGAGCATTGAGCTCTTGTGGATTATTTATAGATAAATAATAGCTTAGATTGATTGGTTTAAATATGTGATTTATTTATGCTTGTTTGATAGTGCAGAAATGCAGCGATCTCAAATGCGAATTCTTTTGATTGTCGAGTACACACTCTGGTCATGTACATACTATGCTCTGGTTAAATAACTGCAGGGTGGATTCCGGTAATCTGTTTGTGCGTTCCTCGCTGGTGCGGCTGTTTACGACTTAAACTTGCAATTATTTAAGTCAGGCGTAAAAATGTTTAGTTCTGGCGAAGGGCACGATGATGTGTTGATGATGTCATTTTCTGTAGGCGAACAAAAATTTAATAAATGGGTCTTGGTAAGAATTGGCAGCCGGCTAACAGCACTTTTATTTAAACCATAAATCTTCTTAGCCACCCCGTAGCATAAAACCAATACACGCGTCCGATATGTAAACACGAGGCAGGCTAAAGTCGCAAATTGGTATTTACTTAGGACTGAATGGGGTACGCCAATCTCGAGCGACACGCCCGATTTGTGCTTTTTAATAGAAACATTCCGGTTAAAATTAGAGCCGCCGCCAGCCCGTAGGAAGCTGCAGGCTGGCAAGTCCGCCTTCTCTTTGATTGATTTTTACCATTTTTTTTAATGCGGTCTAAACCATAACGATAAATATAGACAACTTAACCGAATCATGACAGGAAAAATGCATTTATACACATCTGACAACCCAGGTCCTTCAGGATTATTGTGAGCGGATATTATACAGGGTGTCCCATAATATGTGAGCAATCTCTCTGATTTATTGTATAGGAGACGTTAAAATAACATGACAAGTTCCTATCAAAACTTTTCTTAGAGGGCATCCCTACAGAGATACAGGCCCTTAAGGAGGTATATCGGGTTTACTCAAATGCACAGATGTACTTGAAATTTATCCATATAGCGTATTACCCAGTGCTCCCTCTGTGCGTCATATTTTTTTGAATATTTTTTTTAATCTAGATTTTGAGATATTGTTGTTGAAAGTTGTTCATTTTAACATAGGTTTATATGGCAAAGATGGACGGTGCGGCTCTTTTTTTGCCCATAACTGAGAAAAAAATTTAGGAATTGTGAACCAAAACTTTTCCATAGATAGTACACAATATTATCTTATTTTTGATGTAAAACTAATGTAAGTTTTGAACATAGTACAGCTGTATTAATTAGAAACAGAAACCAATAATTG